CTATATTTGTCCTTCTGTGATTGACTTATTTCACTCAGCATAATGTCTTCCAAGTTCACCCATATTATGTGGGGTTTTGCAGAATCTGCATTATTCTTTAGTGCTGCATAGCATTCCATTATGTGTATGTACCATAGTTTGGTCATCTACTCTTCCACTGTAAATCTTAAGAGATAAGTCCCTTGCCAGATATGTAATTATTGGCAAATATGAATTGTTGCTGTCATTTTTGTTATGTGCTTTTTTGTGGTGTCTATTTCTTTGTTTCAAATAATTTTCTATGCTGAACTCATTTTGTTTATGAATCATGTTATCACTTCCTTCATTGCTATTGTTTTAGTATTTGCTGAATATTTATGCTTGTCCTCTTTTTTAATGTGAAGGTTTATCATTTTTCTTTGAGGTTACCTTGTGATTTATAGTTTTCTTCCGAAGTTTAGAGCAGTCCATTCTATCTTGTAGTTGTCTTGACTTCCTACCATCTACAAGTCCTGTAATGACACAGTTGTTTTTCCCTCTTTTTGGTTTGTAGTTGTCCTCATTTGTCAATTGGTGTCTCTGGTTTCCTGTTTACAATCTTGTAGGCTTATTTACTTTGGATACTTCCATTGCTCGGTTGGTTTCTGGGTTATCTCATCATGTGTGTTTTAATGGTCAGTTGTTGTTGGCTGTTGTTGCTTCTCTGTCCAAAAGGCAACCTTTAGCATCTCTTATAAGCTTGGTCTGGTTTTAACAAATTTCCTTCATTTCTGCTTATCTGGAAATGTCCTAATTTCATCATCGTATTTGAGGTACAGTTTTGCTGGGTACAAAATTCTTGGTTGGAATTTTTTCTCTTTTAGTGTTTTATATATACCATCGCATTGTCTTCTTGCTTGTGTGATTTCTGTTGAGAGCTTAGTCTTATTGGTTGCCCCTTGTAGGTAACTTTTCATTTTTCCTGGGCTTCTCTCATGATTCTTTCTTTGTCTTTGTCTTTGGTAAGTTTGATGATGATATGTCTGGGTGATTGTCTTTTGGGATCTGTCCTCTTTGGGGTTCATTGGACTTCCTGAATGGCTATATTCTCATCTTTCACCATACCAGGAAAATTCTCTTCCAACAAATCTTTGACAATTTTCTCTGTGGTTTTCTTT